CCAGTAAAACAGTTTACTGTAGCTATATTGCCATGTTAAGTCGTGTGTGTGTGTGTGTGTGTGGGGGGGGGGAATGTGACAAAGAAATTTGTTTTGCATTGACCCTGCAAAATGTGCTCTTTGATCTGTCTTCTGTTCCAGACTGCCTTGTCTATACACAGTTTAAAGCCATTAATGGTTGATCAATGTGGCAAGTCACTCTGGATTGTTGCAATTAGAAAACAATGCCCCCAAAAAAGCTATTTTAAGTTATGCGCTATCAGTGGGGAAAGCAACAGAGAGGATAATTGGGTATTGACAAAAGAGTGTGAAAAGCAAAGACAGCATGCAAGACCACTCTCCAATTTACTCTGTCATAGTGAGGCTCTGATTATGCTGTTACTGACCAGATAATTGGGGGAACGCTTGATAAAAACAAACATTTTAGGATGAAGCGTCAAACACAATCATCTGACATAAAAAAAAATATTAAAAACACTTTATAGGGGTGATGCTTTCCTATTTCCTGCAGCTGCTTGTGAGGCCAGACACACTCATGACTTCCTGGCTCCCCAGAGTGCAATGTACTGTCATTCACTAGACTGAGCAATTTTTAAAAGCACAGGGAGGTTTCATGCTTCAGCGGGTGTAAACTGATACTAAATGGCTTGTTAGGAGTTAACTGCCAGATTAACACCATCCTGGTTTCCGCTACACAAGCATTTAAAGAGCAGTGATCAATCCATGTTCCTCTAGTATTAAATGTTTGTAGTAAACGGGGCTGAAAACTAAATCAGCTTCACTCAGAGTAATGGGGTTGAACATATAGATAAAATAATTTGCCAAAGTTTGAGCAGATGTGTTTATTTCACTTGAGAGATTTAACCTTATCTATCTATCTATCCATCTATCTATCTATCTATTTCCTTTCTCATAAAAACTGTCCATATCTATCAGTAACTCAGTAACAGCTTCCTCCCACGAAGAGCATAATTTACAGTATGTGCACTATCCAGTGGGTTTATGTGATGATAAGTAATGAAATCCACTTGATTTGGAAGATGCTTGTATTTTAATTATGTGAATTACATGTGACACCAGCCCCATTAATAATTATTTTAACTGTGGGGAGAACATGCAATATACATATAAACTATAATCACTTGATGTAAAATGGTACTGTTACATTTAAGCTGTGATATAAAAGTATAGCTATATGTTGTTTGTTAATCTTTTGTAGTATAAAGAAGCTAGTAGCATATGACTCACACAGGATCCTCCACCTAACTAAATCACCGGCTTCTGTGTGTCTCTGTTGCTCAGTGGGTTTTGTAACCCAGAGCCAGCCGAAGTCTCATGGCTGGGTGGAAGGCAGCAGAGGCCATCTGTTGTCTGTGTGTTTTCTTTGGTGCCATGCCACAAAACTCTGCTGCCAGAACACCCAACGGCCCCCATGTGCACCACGGTGCGCCTGAGGACGGGCTCTTTGAAGCACCTTTATAACCTACTGGCTCCCTTGGGTGAGACCTGTATTCTGCCAAAGTCCAGACACAATAGGAAAAGGCCCTTGTTGTGGAAGGATCGTTACACAACCATGCCATTAACCTTAATTGGAGCAGCCTGGTGGAACACACAAAAAAACTTTCAGCGCTCTGAGACAGCAGTGTTGTTCCCCTGAGTTGCATAAAATCGAAACTTATCCCAGACTGAATTAATTGAATTGCAGACTACTTGCTGAGGAACTGAGGAGTAACTGAGGAGTAAGTGTTATATGGTAAAACATTATTTTCTGGTCATGTGCCCTGACAGAATACTAAACCTGTTACATAAACATGACTTCAATTTCAGGTGAAAGAGCTTTTTCTCCTCTTCCAGTTTTTGGGTAAACATATTGACACAACTGAATTAATTCCTACATTGGTTGTAATTGGTTGGAGGCCAGGAAACACACGCGCTGAAAAGGGGGACATTAGGAAACATGGGGATAACTCCCTTTAAAACTACGTTCAGAATATGTTTAAGAACCCTGGGGCGAACCAGGGGACTGTGTACAGAACAGTCTGTCAACACATACAGTATTTATACAGTATATCGTATGCACATATGTTGGGAAAATACTATAAACATAATGTCCCGAAATATCAGCTTTGAATGCCAACTTTTTTTTCTCCCCTTCATTTGTCAGCTTTCAGAGTCTTTGGTCTTTTTCCCATAGTAGCGAGATAGCATTATTAATATCTCCCATTCATGAGAGAAAATAGCCCACAGTACTTCCTGTCTAAATCCGTATCCCACGTAGATATTACATACCACAGTGACTGGAATGCAGATTCCTGTGACAGCAGGGTTTTCCAGGGCAGCGGGTCACTGCACACACTTAGGAACCAGCAGCGTTGTCAAAACTTATTTGGAATTTCAAATTTTGACTGGGAAAAAAAAAAGCTTGTCTATGAAATTAATCTTCAATTTAGCGGTAATGGAGCACTACCCCACTGTATGTTACGTTTTCTTTTTGACAGAAAGCCGAGGACATTAGAGAAACAACTGAAGTGGCAACAAGGAAAAATAAACCGAGAATTTGTATGGTTTCCCCCAGCTAAGACGCTATTCTGGTGTTACAATGAGCTGCAAACACACATCAATTATTTATCTCAAACAGAACCAGGGACATTTTAGTGTTGAAATGGTTTGTGAATGTCAACAGCTTTCACTGTCAGCCTGACAGATTGTGGAAATGTACAGTACTGAAATAATAGTATAAACATGAGAGGAATCATTCCTGTCAACAGGCAATGAGCGCAAACAGGGGAGGAAATGTAGCTGTCTGCAGTTCTGGTCCTGGCTTGCACCAGCCGTTAAATCTCTATCTTTGTAAGCAGTAATGACTTTTGTAAGTAGAATTTGCTAGATTTATTGTACCGGATTAAATTCTGTGAAAACAGGAGTCTACCATTTGCATTACCCTTTATCACTGTTGCCTCTAGAGGTCAGGCTAGCATTCACTAGCTCAGGTTTATGGTAATTACCAGTCCACTGAGCACCACTCTTGTTCTTGTATTCTTCATTTGCATGATAGCAAACTGGTTTTTAGGGGTACTCATGCAGTGCCGCCTACAGTGAGCCCATCAATTTCATGTTTGATTACAGAGAAACTGAAAACCTTAGCTGCCAGGAACACAGTTGCCTCATTTGTGAAATCACTTTCAGTCTTCAATAACCTTTCATCTTGTGTCAGCTCACAGGAATTGTCTGGAAGAGGAGGCAGGGCTTGTATTTCCATTATAGAACTGTGTCATCAAAACCAAGAAATGCAAAAGGTTTCATAGCACAATGCCAGCTGTTGTTGCTGAGCGGTGACCCCATGACTTTAAATTGCCATTATGTACCAAACAACATTCATTTATCGCTTATGTAAACAGAGAGATAGCAAACTGTGGGCTGTAACGGCAGCTGTCTGCTGGGTCTTACCTTAATCAGGATTACCCTGCACGAACATGACAGGTGGAGGAGCTCAGCTCGCACACGCACACATATGCACAGATACTGGCCCACATACACACGTCCACAAGCGGATGATGGCTGAGTGTGTACTGGAAGTGAAGAATCATCATTTTATACTGAATGTGGCTGTATGCTATGGACTGCAGAAGCTCATTACAGAGCTGGAACCACTTAGTTGGTGATGAATAGCCTTCTTGCCTTGTCAAATACTGCCATTACTGACTATCTCTGACATTAAGTCTACATTTCAGTAAGGATTCTGAATTAGTAACATACAATGTAACACACATCTTACTGAACAATGTAGCTTTTATTATACTGTATACAGTGGGACATAACAAGTCATGCTTGTGTTTAGTGTATCGGGGTTTCATCAAGTTAAAATTAAGACTTTTTAAGACCTTTTTCTGACCACTTTGGATGCAGCTTAAAACCAAGGTGTGAAACACCCAAAAGTAAGAGATTTACTTTTTAACTTATTAACTATAACTTAGTTAATATGACATAGAAGTAACATCAACTTTAAAATAAGCATCCTAACCCAAGCACAATCATTTTTTAAGATGCCAAAATTGTTATTTAAGACCTTTGAAGGCCTAAAATTTAGATGATTGGGTTTAAGACTTTTCAAGACCGACAGAAACCCTGTGTGGTGCTGCACACTGTACCGGCCAGTAGCTCTTTAGTGTGTAAAGACAAGAAAAACAAAGTCAAATAGCAGTTCACAATTTATTTACTAAATAAATTTGGACAAAACACCAGAATCTGTTACGATACAATCAGAACATCTGAGGCAGATATCCCACCATGCACCACCCTCTTCTATGAAACAAAAAGGACTTGACATTAGCACCAAATCAGCACCAACTTAAATAAAAGGTAGCTCAGTCTACAAAAACAAAAGCAACACTTTTTTTAACTTTTGTTTTTACTAAAAAGCAACTCAGAAAAGTAGCAAACAGATTTTTTTTTTTTTTCGTTAAAAAAAAAAAAAACAAAAAGAAAAAAGAAGCCCCCCACCCCCCACTAGGCAGGCTATAGCATTCATGGGGCACATGCCAAGGACTAGATAAAAACACAAATTCAAGTCACATTGAGATACGACCAAACATGTTCACTTGAACCCATTCCGAATGTGATCGTTTCACAGAACCTACGCAGGCAGCAGACAATTAACATGAGGTCCTGGAGTGAGCATGTCATAGCATTATTATCACGGAATATCTCATACAAAGTCCTTAAAAAGAAATGAGGGGGAAGTGGGCGGCATGGGCTGTCAGGGTGGAGGAATACTGGCACAGGAGATATTGTGTATCCTAAAACTTCAGACAGACATTTTCCTCTTTACACCTGTCCTGTGTCAAGATATTGCGTACATCATACATGAAAAGGAAATCTCTGAATAAAGAAAAACCCTGCAATGTAATTTTAAATATATATATATATATATTTCCATTTATATATCATAT